CTGCTAAAACTTGTATCAGACATTTTAGCAACATATAATATCCTTATCTGTCGTAAATATTTCATTCAAAGTATTTGCTCTCATCATAATAAAGCTATATTGGCTTTCTCTGTACTTACTCTTTGTCTGACTATCTGAGGCAGGAAAGCACTGGAAACAGTTTGGTTTGGGACCCCATTTGGTTTTGATTATGCACACATACATACCCCTGTTCCTAGATTAAAGCAAACAAAAATGTCCATGCATTGTATGCAAACAATGCAAACTGTCCAGGAAATACCCCAGGATCTCAGGGCAGAGTGTTGTACTTGGTTGGGCCCCACACAGAAGCAGCAGTCTCCAGGACCAGCTGCACAGCTGTCCAATCCCACAGACACTTCCTCGTCACCATGGCCCTCCTGCCCCAGCTGGCCAGGCTACATCAGCTTCTGAGCACTCTTCCCTCCAGACTACTTGTTCTGGCTGCTCTGGGATGGGGCATTTCATCAGGAGACAAATGCGAAGGGATAGTGAAGGAACCAAAAATATAGGAAATCACAACCCGAAGATGTGACCTTCACAACTGTGTCTTAATATCTAATGCTACTTCTGAATACTAAAACACCACCATCCAGAAAAGCCAAAGGGTGAAATTCAAGCTTTGGATTTCCTATCTCTTAAAACAGAAGGTGATTTTCCATTATGATAAACACTTCTTCCACATCAGGACAGACAACACAAACCTAAGATAAGGTTTTCATTAGGAAACAAAGAGCACTCTGTGGGGCCAGAGACTAATCATCAGCCAAGGGCATTTGCTGCTATTGCAAAAGACCCTGGTTTGATTCCCAGAATCTACATGGCAAGACAGAATCACCTGTAACCCCAATTCCAGGGGATCCAATGCCCTCTTCTGACTTTTTTGGGTACCACGTACACATGCATATAAATGAAACCATTAAAGATTCTCTTCTGTTTGCCAATTTGAGTTAAATTTCCTCTGAACTCCTAACCCTGTCTTCCACATAGTGACCGGGATCTTTGTGACTCAGATGACATCTTAATCAATGCTAAGAAATGGCTAAAAAAGTGTGAGTCCTTTTAAGTTAATTATGTCTCTCCCCTGCACTGATTTAAATAAAAAACACCACCACAAATAAACACAGGAACCAAAACAAAAGTTCCGTTCTCAGCCTTTTACTTCTATGGCTTCTACTGCCAGCTGATCCCTGGACTCACTCTTCAGGAATTAATCTGGTTGCCGGTAGCCTTGAGGCAACAGTACCTGCCACCTGTATGTACCCACTCTGTGCCTGCACCCTCCTTCAGATTCAGAGGAAGGTCATGCATGGATCCCACGAGCCCCTTACCGAGCTGACGTCCAGTCTGGGGACTTGAAGTGTCAAAGAGCTCTGAGCTGGCCTCAGGAGCACTTGGCTCCCATGATTCACTGTTCTCAGCCATCTCTGAATAGGCATCACCCGGCACTCTATGAACTGCCACAGGCTCTCCAGTACCAGGGCCCTTGTCCTCACTGCTTGTATCTGCCACAGCCCTGGTCTCTTCACCCATTTTCTCAGCAAACCATTGCTTGACCTGCTGGGCACTCATCTGGGTCTTGTCACAGAGGGTCTGCAAGTCTTCCTCACACAGCATCTTGTGTGTCAAGTAATAATCTTGCAGCAGCTCTCGGTTGCCAGGGGCAATGATGAGCAGACCTGGTGGGAAGTTGCCCCTCTTATAGTCTTCGTACCACTTGAGCTGGCCATTCTTCAGGGCATACCTGCTATCTCCGAACCAGCGTACCACCTCTGGCCGGGGCAGTCCTGTTTGGGCCATGATAGAGTCATAGTCCTGGTTGCTTGGCCACTGTGTCTGGACAAAGAGCTGCCGTAGCAAGTGGCGTTGCTGTGCTGTCTTTTTGTAGCTCACTTTGCCTGGTGGCTGTTCTACTAGCTTGTTCAAGCCATCTTCCTCGGGCTCACAGACACCCAGCCCTGGAAGCTCATTCTTGCCACTGGCTTCAGTGACCCGCAGGTTCTTGAGGTTGATTTTGATGGGGCTGACCTTCCGCTCTGCCAAGGTATGGCTAAGAAACATTTCAGGAGAGCCATTTTCACCAGGAACCCTCAGCTCACTGGCCAGCTCTTCGTCTCCACCCTCATCCTCAGCACCCTCCTCCTCCTGAGGTACCTGCCCATCAGCCTTCTTGGTCTCCTCAGCATTTACTTTTTTCCGCCTCTCTGAGAACCAGCCGTCAATTTCCCTTCGGGTCATTTTGGTTTCACTTCTCAGGCGGTCCAGCTCTTCCTCAGGGGGAAGCGGGTTTTGTGCAAAGCTACTCTCCAGGACTCGCAGCTGCTCTGGGGCTCTCTCTTTGTATTTGGTTGGCGTGAAGTCTGGGGTCTGGTGCCAAGACTGTCGTTTGGTGGCAGGGTGGCTTGCTAGTGAGGTTGCTGTTGGGATACAGGTCACTTCCGGAACTTTGGATGGCAGGGAAAAGGGCACCTCTGGCACAGAGTCAATGAGAACGGGGCCATGCTCTCCAGGCATCATGGCCCTGGAGCCCTTAAGGTTCCGGCAGTGGTATCTCCGGTCACTGAACCACTTCCGCACCTCTCTGGTACTGAGGCCTGTCACTTTGGTCAGGTGCTCTACTTCACTCTGCCCAGGGAACTGGTTCCGACAGAAGCTTCCTTTAAGGGCTGACAGCTGTTCGTGAGACTTCTTGTTTTTGTAGATGCTTGCATCAAGGAAGGCTTGGGAAGTTATGCTGGGGCATGCTGTGAGGAGTGACTGGGCTGCATTGACTACCTTTACAGCTGATGCTGTATTTGAACACACAGTGTTGATGGGTGCCACAGATGGCTTGGGAACAGATGCAGTTGTCAGAGGGAGAGACGAGCTTGATGCCTGTAACCCATTGGCCATCAATGGCTGAGTGACCAGGAGGCCCCCTGCTGTGCCCTCTGGCTGTCCCACAACATGGCCTGGGAGAGTGGCCTGGATGAGATGCTGTACATTGCCGGTACTGGCAACAAGGGGGGTATTTAGCACTGTGATAGTGGGTTGAGGCACAGACTGGATGACTGTATTGAACATCTTTTTCCGGGCATCTTCAATCTCCTCAGGAGACCAGCTGATTCCCTGCTTCAGCCTCTGGGCTGTGAACCAGATCTTAAGCTGTTCTTCTGGATACTTGGTCACTACAGTCAAGTAACAGAGCTCAGCTTTGGTTGGGTAGGGGAATTTGTGGAAGGAGTTCTTCAGAAAGCTGTTGGAGTCCATAGCTGCATTGTATGTTGGGATGCTGCTCAGGGGGATCATGACTTTCGGAAGGGCCTTGGATGTGGGCAGGGGCTGGTGGGTATGGTGCTGGGCATGTACTGGGGGCTGCTGCTGGAGGGAGAGGAATTGTGCTATACCAGCTGGCAGTACTGGCACTGTTCCTATCAGGGGCCCATTGGCAGCATGAGTGGGCTTTGAGGAGCTAGCAGGTGCCTGGCTGACTGGAGCTGCCCCATTGGTGAAAGTGTGGTCCCCCTCTTTAACCTCTGCCTCCCCAGCCAATGGCTTTGGCAAGGCCTCACCCACAGGCTGATTGGGAGCATTTTCTTTAAGCATATGAATTTTCTTGGCTTCAGCTTTGCCTTTCATTATCTTCATGATTGGTGTCTTGGTAATAATGATTTCAGCCTGTCCATCAGTCCCATCAGTAGTAGACTCACTTGCTAGGTCAGATGTGCTAGTGTTCTCAGGGACATTCTGTTCCACCACTACATGATTGTCTGGCCTGGTCACATTCCACAAAAAGCTGGCTTCCCCTGAGTGACACTTGGCATTGTGTAAGGAAAGCCCCTCAGGGGTTTTTGCCAGGAAACTGCACCCTGTACATATAAAATGTGGGTCTTTATTAAAGTCTGTGTGCTCTGAGTTCATATGCCCTACAAACTGGGTCATGTCCTGGGACCTGAAGTCACAGTCTTTACAGGAATACACATAGCCATCCAAAGTGCTCCGGTGCCCATTTGCCAGGGTAGAGGCATCAGTGATGCTGGAGTTTGGAGCTGCCTCGCTGCTGGCATCAGGGGCCTCTGAGGGAAGTTCCTTCTGGGGACCTTCAGGCAAAGTTTCCACAGGCTGGGCCTCTGTGCTGGCACCTTGCAGCACCACGGTCTTAACTGGGATCATGCATGGGGTGGTGGACTTCCTCTTACTGGCCATGGTGACAATCACTCTGGGTGATCAGCAGGCAAGCAGGGCCTTGCAGTACAAATTTCAGCTACTTCATGAGGGCCTGAGAAGTGCTTCTAAAGGTGGCTTTATCAGTTATTTGCAGAAAGCTTCTTTTCCTTGTTAAGCCTGAGGAGAAAGAAAAACTATGATAAAGATCTTGCAGTCTGTGACTCTCTTTCTCAGGTCACCACTCATATACCCACTGCTCGTTTACTATCTTATGGGTCTTTTCACAAGAAGCTCATGCATGTGCTTCTTAGCTGTGAGTTCTAAGGCAGGAGTTCCTTGATGTGAGAGTCTCCTCTGTGTGCTGTGATTACCGTTAATGAATAAAGAAACTGCTTTGGACCTATAGCAGGGCATAACTTAGGTAGGTGGGAAAAACTAAACTGAATGTGGGGAGAAAGAAAGGTGGAGTTAGAGAGAAGCCATATAGCCCTGCCGGAGATAGATGCAGAAACTTTTCCCTGTAAACCACAGTCACATGGAGATACACAGATTAACAAACATGGGTTAAATTAAGATGTAAGAGTTAGCTAATAAGAAGCTACAGTGAATGGGTCAAGCAGTGATTTAAGTAATATAGTTCCTCTGGGATTATTTCGGGGCTGAGCAGCCAGGAACCAAAAAGCAGCCTCACTCCTCACCAACATTCCTTGGAAGCCGTGCTAAGAATGAGCTGGGTTGTTCTGTATCATTTGATAAGCTTACATTATATAATTTTTGTTTCTTTTGTTCCCTTTTGCATTCAGTAACTCAGTTTATAAAAAAGGGGGGAGAGGAGGAAAACCACCCTCTTTGTATCTAAAAATTAATTCTGACCATTTTGGACTGAGAACAAAAGACCCATTGTAATTCTTGTTTAAACATTTAAGCCAACAAGGATTTTTCTTTTCATAGTCTTCCCACATACAAGAACATGAAAATGCCTCTGTCTCCTTCAAACTAGGACCAAAGACCAAGTCAGTTTCATTCAGGCCTTGCCTTTTCTACCACCTGGATTCCCAACCAAAGCTGTGGTTCCTCCATGTACCTAGGGCATTGTCACTTAGGTGAATTCAAGGATCAGAGGGGTCAGGATACCCACATACTCAGTTTGGGTGCAGCAAATAAAAGAGAGGCCTCCTCTTAGATTCATGTAGTTACTCACAAGAATGTACTTCCCTGTTTTGTATTTTTCATTTTTATTTCTTTTGTTCTTTGTTTGTTTGGTTGGTTTGGGTTTTTTTGAGACAGGAATTATCTGTGTAGCCTTGACTGTCCTGGATGGAACTCAAATTTTGTAGACCAGGCCTTTTTTCATGTTAAAAAAAAAAATCCCCCCCAAAAAATCAAAACAAAACAAAACAAAAAAAAAACCCTACTATTAATCTTTGATGTGCTTGAAGTTAAACAGAGGGCTTACTTACATGTAAAGTAACTATAGTGTTATTTCAGGAGACACCCTGAGAAGGTGTCTCTGTCACCCTGCCCTGTTTGTTAACAGAATCTGCCATCAAGGCCTCCTCTTGAGGAGCCACATCCTGTCTCTGGTGTGCACTCTCTTGTTTCCAAGTGCTTTCTCTTCCTACTGATTCCTAGCTTACATCTATATTACATTTTATTTCTAAAAGTCTGGCGCATATATATATAGATTCTTATATAAAATCAAAACTAGTATCAGTGTTTGGATTTGATATAAAATGTAGTTAAAATTTAAACATCTTGATTCAAATTCTTATTAAACAAAGATAATGAACTATTTTTTTGGCTGCTAAATCTAGCCTGATGATCATGATGATAAAAGTAAAGAAAATTAAAAAGGCTGTGATAAAATAAACACATACCCAGGTCTAACCCTTGTCACTGTTTCCACTACCAACCTACCAATGTCAGGAACAAAGTTAATGAATTTAATTACAATTATATCAATAGTACATGGAGTTTAAGAAATAATACTACCTAATAATAATTCAATATTTGTCTGTGTCTAAATATACACATTTTCAATCAACAAATATATGTATTTCCTTTTACTCATACTATCACACATATTTTCACTGTATGGCTTTCATAATTAAAATGTTTGCTAACAGTCTAGTAATGTGCTACAATGGACTTAACTGAATCCTGTTTAGTGTCACATGAACTTCAACTGCCAATTCCTAGGGAGTCACTGTACAAGAAGATCTCAGCTCATACAAAGTATTTTTCCTTCCATAAGTTATTTCCTGAGGGTAAGTGCCCATAAATAGGTTTATTAGCTTATTTATATAGTACATAATTTCTAATTTCTTTTAAATATAATTAGCAAATACTCTAAAGTGCTTTAACTAAGTGCCAAAAATAATTATGACACACAATTATGCTTCTCTAGTGAGCACATCAGCTTTTTGGATAAGTCATGGAAGGCCTCAGACAGAATCAAAGCGCAAGTAAAAGAAGAAAACAACAGATCAACTGAGATTCACCAAAGTAAAAATGGACTTCAATGGTCACTGTCAGTAAAGTTACAAGGTGTGGCTGGAAATGAGGATAGTGTTAGAACGCTTTCTGACATTCGTGAGGAGCTTTGAAAAGAATATATCTGATAAGATATACCTGGAATATATATGAAGATATTTTACAACTTAAGAAAATGACAGTCTAGTTAAAAATGAATAAAGGATTTGGTCAGACTTTCCCCCAAAGACAAACAAATGAAGAGTAAGTAATTTAAAAGAGCTCAATGTTGTTGGAGGCTGTTCATTCATTTCCTGACCGCCCTGACTCGAAATAATCACACAGAAACTATATTATTTATATATACTCTTTGGCCAATAGCTTAAGCATACTTTTAGCTACCTCTTATATCCCAAACTAACCCATTTTTATTAATCTGTGTATTGCCATGAGGTCATGGCCTATCGGCAAAGTTTTGGCAAGCTCCAGGAGAGGCGTCCTCTGGTGGTGGCTCCATGGCTTCTCGCTCACTCCACCTTTTCCCCCAGCATTTAGTTTAGTTTTCCTGCCTAACTCTGCTCTGCTAAGCCACTGACTGAAACAGCTTTATTCATTAATCAATAAAAGCAAAACATAGAAAGACTTTCCACACCACTCAGCATTGGCAAACATGGTGGTGCACATCTTTAATCCCAGCACTTGGGAAGCAGAGGCAGGTGGGTCTCTATGAGTTCAAAGTCTGTCTGATCTACAAAGTGAGTTTCAGGACAACCAGAGCTACAGAGTGAGGCCCTGTCTCAAAAAAACAAAAAGAAAACTAATAATAAAATAAAAGTGCTCATCATCATTGGGAGCTGAGGAACATAAATGAAAGCTACAGTGAGATCCCTATACTGAGCCAGAACAACTGCAGCCACACTGCAGAGAACAAATACTGGGAAGAATGGGAAGAAACTGGAATGTTCCCTGTTACTAACGTAAAAAAAATGTAACGTAAAATGGTGTAGCTACTTTGAACAAAAGATTTTGGCAATTCTTAAAAAGCTACATATATAGTTGCTAAATTTATCCAGCAGTTACACTCCTGGACACATGTAATAGAGAATGGACTGCCTGCACAAAAGCACACACAACTTTACTATCCGCTTACTGTGGCATCCTTCCTAATGGTAACTGATAAACGGGTCAGTGGGTGAAACCTCCAGCTAGTAGAATATTTTTATGCCATAAAAGTGATTGGCATTTTTCTGGATTTTGTTTTACTCTTTTGAAGCATGATTTTTCTATATAGTTGGGCTGGAATCAAACTCATGATTCTGTCTCATCCTCTTATGTATTTGCCATGATACCTGGCAGGGGAGAGGTTTAATGCATACTGAAACATAATAAACCTGAAAACATTATACTAAGTGAAAGAAAGATGGAGGTCCATCAACTGGAAGATACACCACCAGCTAGAAGAGAGCTTGGGCTCACTACAAGCCCAGACAGCCAGCAGAATTCAGTAGCAGGTAATGCAGGACCTTGTCTCCATGACACAAATGCAAAAGCACAGGGCCAGTGCTGCTCTTTGTGATGGGGACTACTGGGTTTCATTGAGTAGCAGGTAAATAATGTCTCCAGCATTTTATTTAAAAAATCAGAGCAATAGTACAAGTAGGGGCAGGTGCATGAGCGTGTGTGTGTGTGTGTGTGTGTGTGTGTGTGCAGGTGTGTGTGAACTCCCAAGGTTGGCATCACATGTCTTCATTGTTAACATTCTACCTTTATATACTGAGGCAGGGTTCCTTGCTGAACCTGGAGATTGCTGTTTTGGCTAGTCTGGCTAGCCAGCTTGCTCCAGGAATACTGTCTCTACCTCCTGTATGATGTGATTACAGGCTGTTGCCACAGACACCTAGCTTTCATGTGGATTTTGGGAATCTGAACTCTGGTCTTCATGCTTGCATGACAAACGTTTTACCCAATAAGAAATTTGAGTAAGATGATTAAATACATTATCAATACACATAAATCATAAATTTTCCCACATGACAGAAATGACTGATTAGAGAAATGGAGGGAAAGTTCATTTACATTAACAATCAAAGCTCTAAAACTTTAACAATAAGCACAAAGCTTTAATAAAAACAAAAAAGGAAACCTAGTAAGAGCCAAAGCTTATACCTGTAATTAAAGATTCAGAACTATAGTGATAGCAGAACTTTCCAGAGCAATGTTGGATTTCAGTGGACTATAACCACAGTCAAGATATCACCAGACAAATCTAGGTGATGAGTATGTGGATGCTTTCCCTATGTCTTTCAATTTTTTCTCTTTGTTCAACACTTTATTTTTAAAAGTGTTGGAGAGAAATGTCCTAAGAATTCTTCATGGAATTTGACAAACTGAATCAGAATTGTCCTTTTAAGAGAAAAGGTAAAGCTCTTCCAGTCACAGGCGCTTCGGGAGCCGCCGATTACCGTCCAGCCATGGCCAAGTCCAAGAACCACACCACACACAACCAGTCCCGGAAATGGCACAGAAACGGCATCAAGAAACCCCGGTCACAAAGATACGAATCTCTCAAGGGGGTTGACCCCAAGTTCCTGAGGAACATGCGCTTTGCCAAGAAGCACAACAAGAAAGGCCTGAAGAAGATGCAGGCAAATAATGCAAAGGCCATGAGTGTACTTGTGGAGGCCATCAAGGCCCTGGTGAAGCCC